GTTGGTCTAGCTGGTCTCGAACTCCCGACCTCAGGTGATCCTCCCGCCTTCACCTCCCAAAGTTCTGGGATTACAGGCATGCGCCACTGCACCCAGCTCCTTGGGGTTTTTAATCTCAAACCTGGCCACGCTGAGCCTCCAGCAAATATAATGACAGGGTAGGTTTCTTGCCCCAGCACTGGTTTCTCTGCAGGTTCCTGCTCATGGGTCTGTTCTCCACAAATTTGTGGTTCTCTCTGTATCCTCTTCTCCGTATCTTTAACTTCAGGTGTGACACTGTTCTCTGTGGCCTCAGTTCTCTGAGAGATCTAAGAGGAGTTGTTGATTTTCAATTTGTTCAGATTTTCAGCTGTTGTTAGGATAGAGTAATGACTTTCAAGCTCCTTCAATGCCAGCCCAGGGCCACTTTTCACATGTGCCATGCCACTGAACACCAGGGGTGTTTTTCTCCAACCCTGAGGAGCAGGATGTTTGTTCTGACAGAGGCATGGGAGGCAGCAGCTATAGAAGCATTTAAGCCTCATGGGGTGAGCCATCTGCTTTTAGGAGTATAGATCTAGGCATGTCACATGGCTTTCCTTTTAAAACACTAATCCCAGCTGTTCAGAATGGTCTCCTGTTATGTCCTGACCAAAATGCTTGCTGGAAACATTACGTTTTGCTTCCCCGGCAAAATACTAAGTCTAGGGTGATAGCCCCCAAGAGTCTTTTGGTTTACGTTCCTAAGCTCCCACTCTGCATGCCTGTGCAACCCACCCTCCATCGAAACCCTGGACACTACAGCTTGGGTGAGCTTCTCTAGTTAGCAGCACTTTGCTTGTGTTGTCACACATTGTTGCTGAAAGAATTAACTGTGTCCCCACGCAGCTCCATGGGGAGGGGACACTTGGAAGCCTGTGCCTGGTTTCCTCTGGAAAAGACTCTGCTGATTTTAGTCTGTATCCTTTCGTTGTAACAAACCATAACTGTTCTGAGCCCTATGAGTCCCTCTAGCAAATTGTCAAGCTTGAAGGTGATCTTGCGGACCCTGACACAACATCATAACTCCATGGGGATAAGCGTGAGCCGCAGCAGCCGA